CGGGGAGGACTCTTCTGCTCACCTTGTGGTGCCAGATCGCCAGGAGAGCGGGCCCTCTCCCTCCTCCTTCGGCTGCTGCCGTGAGCTCCGGAGTCACCGTTTCGGCTGCCGCCTCCCCGCTGCCACCTCCATTCCTTCTTCCCACTTCCAAATCGCGCTGCTTCCTATCCTGCCAGGCCACCTCCGTCCTGCAGAGATCCCGGGACTTTGGGCTGGGGATAAACCACAGCTGCCGGGCTTGCCAAGGGCTTTAGCACTTGAGATGCTTGCCTGCTTTTCTGGGCGAAAGCTGGGATGTCGGCACAACTAGGAGATGCTTTTAGGGATATTCTCCAAATGGGAAAAAAGGTTTGGCTAGCTAACGCTATTTTAAACATTACCATTTTGGAAATGGTTCCTACTCGAGCTTTGTGGTATAACTTATTCTCTTGTTACATACCAAAGAGGTTCACTTTTTCCTGAGTTTTATGTTATTCTTCCTAGCCGGAATGGAAACAAGTTGCTTGTCAGTTCACGCTTCAGGCTTGCGGTGTTACTTAGTGAAGGTATTGTGGTACGGCTTAGGAAAGGGAGCACTGATGGAAATTGCTTTAGTTTTGATTGTTTTTATAAAAAAAAAAACAAGAAAAAATATTGTCAGCTTCTGTCTGGTGGTTATTTGGACGTTTCTTGAGGTGCTGGTGACATGGGAGGAAAGAGCAGACGTGAAAGTGTAGCAGCTGGGCAGTGCCCATTTCTTTATGTAGTCACTTGTAGGCTCCTGCCTGGGCTTTTCTGTGCCTCCAGCACACGTCCTCACAAAAGCTGCGACCTGCTCTTGCAGCCAGCACGCCTCAGAGGAGTTAATTTTTAACCAATTTTTGTGTAGGCATTAACGTTTATGTCTTGAACTTGCACAAGTGTACTTTGAAACAAGCAAAGCGACTGTCGCTTGGGTTTGATGTGAGCTGACGACAGAAACTAAACTTTATTCTCAAGTTGTTCTTTGTAGTAAATGCACCTTGACCCTAATTTTTGTGAGCGTGCCAGCACCAGCTCTGACCCTGGTTCCAGCTGTGCCGTGGCAGGGTCTGCGCAAGGTGGGATGTGTTTGCACCAGAAGAAAGGGATCTACTTTATTTTGAGCAAAGTCTTCAGAGCCCTCTTGGTGCTTTTGAGACCAGCAACCTCTCTTAACCGTTTATTTTCCTGAATCCTGTGACTGGAAGCTCGGTGAGGAGAGGGGAGCTCACAGGCACAGGGAAGGTGTCTGAATCCTTAGTGGGAAGCCGGATTAAGCCGTCCAGCCCTGCCCTCCTGCGGCGCAGCAGTTGGTGAGTTTTTAACTAGCACAGCTGCACAAGGAGCTGAGTGCCTGTGTTTTTGCTCTGCTGCCTGTTAGCGATTTGCAGGACGCTCCGAGACCATGTGGCGAGCTCCTGGCTCTGCCTTGCACCCAAGTTTTGTTTTCTTTCCTGTGTGTCTGCAGGCTTCATGATTTTAAGAGCAGCTGGATGCCCCGAGCCAGCAGGCCTGTTTTGTCCAGAGCTGCAGGACCAAGCAGACACGTACACTAGACCCCTTTATTTCACTTCTAACACTCCAGAGGGAGAGTATAATGGCAGTTATTTTTTCAGACGAACAAAGTTGGCCTAAGGCAGGCTTTTCATATACTGCGTGCCCAGGCTGGGTTTTCCTGCCTTCGCTCGTGGCACAAGGCAAGAGGAGCCAGTTGACAGCCAGGGCACGGCCCTTGCGCAGTGAGCGCCCTGCAGTTCCGTGCCGTCGCTCGCCATCGGGCTCTATGGTGCCGGCTCTTTCCGGGCACTGTGCTCGGTCCCACTTTTCTGCTGACCCCTGCAGCAGTCTTTGCTTTTTGGCAAGGGGTCTCCAGGGGTGCCGCCGGGCATGCAGCCCTCCTTGGTGCCGGCTGGAGTTCCCTCCTTGCAGCCGGGCAAGGTGTCCCTGGGGAAGGGCAGGCACCTTGGCAGGGTCTGCGGTCAGGAGAGGGCGCGGGGGAGAGTTTGATGCCTGGGCTGTCGCTGCCGCCTACCTTGGCACCGCTTCGCTGTTGTCGCAGATCTTGAGCAGCATCTGTGCCTGTTCCTCCCTGGGCTCCCGGGGCTCCTGCAGCCTGTGGTGGGAGGGGC